GGCCCGGCCCCAGCCCCGGGCGATGGAAGCCTGTGGCGGCTCGCAGGGACCGGCGCCCACCGAAATCATGGGACAACTCCAGCAGGAGCTGCGGAAAGCCAAGGATGACCACAACATGGCCATAGGTACCGTGGGAGGTGACCAGCGCACACCTTTACCTGCCTAGGTCTCATTCAGTTCGGCTCCTTTGACATTGAAAACATCGCAGGGTGTTGCTCACAAGCTGAAAAGCCATTGGTTCTGAAAACACTTTTCCTCTCCTTGGAAGTGAAGAACATGAGAAAACCCAGCAGAGAAAGCCCTGAGCAGAATGACACTGCGTATCCTCGCACAAAGTCGGGTTGTTTAATACATATGGAATCCCAAAATGGTTTGGGTTGGAGGGACCTTAAAATCACCCAATCCCACCCCCTGCCATGGGCAGGGACACATTCCCCTATCCCAGGTTATTCCACGCCCCATCCAACCTGGCCTTGCACACTTTCAGGGATGGGGCAGGGCCTCCCCACCCTCCCAGGGAAGAATTTTTTCTAATACCCCATCTAAATCTGCTCTCTATCAGTGTGAAGCTATCCCCCCTTGTCCTGTCACTCCAGGTCCTTGTAAACAGTCTCTCCCCATCTTTGTTGTCGGCTCCTTGTGGTACTGGAAGGTCACAGTTAGGTCACCCTGAAGTGAAACAACCTTTTCTTGTTCAGGCTGTACAAACCCACATCCCAGCAAAGCACCACAAACCACATTATCACCCAGAATCACTATGGCTGCAGCATTAATGTGACCCAAGTCTGTTCCCAGACTGTTCCCACAGTGGCTTTGCTTATGCTTACCTGAAAAAAGCAGCTACAGAGCATTCAGCAGGGATCTCCTTTGCTAACAGAGTACTCTCCCACTTTACAGGTGCTATCTCTTCCTTGCAAAGACAGATGGAGATCCAAGAATCTGAGCTTCGGAGAATCAGATCTGAAAAGGAATTTCTCCAGAAGCAGCTCAGAGAGCGAGAAGTCCAGCTCCAAGCTTTGTCTGACAAGGTATGGCCCAAGATTGGTGGCCATGGCTAGCAGGAGACATGGCAGCTGGGAATTTGGGATTTTAGCAACATGTCCCTCTCTCACAGGCATGGGGCACCTGTAACTGCAAAACTGAAGTGTAGAATATTTTCCTTCCAGTTTTTCAGCCTGACAGAAGAACAGAGGCAGGAAGAAATCACGGCGATGATGGAGGAGGAGAACCGCAATCTTCAACAGGTGAATTAGTGTAAAGCCTATACAGAAAAGTGGTAATTTCTGCTTCATTGGGCTGGTTTTAGGGCTGGTGGAGTTTGGCATACAAAACCCCATCTTAATCCAAGTAGTTTTAGAGAAAACTACTAATATAATAACAATAATAAATAACAACAGCTACCAGTACAAGTGAGATTGTTAGTCCATAGATTCTGCCCAGAAAGCATTTGGACCAAATAGTGTGAAAATGAGGCCAAACTTGTTCACTTTCTTCTACCCAGTGACAGCTGGATTTCTGTATCTGCTCAGGTTGTTAGAGAACAGGAATCCCAGCTGGCTGAGCAGAAGGAGATCATCAGTGAGTTACAGGGGAAAATCAGCCAGCTGCAGGCCGAGGTTGTGAACACCCACCTTCACCTCCTGGAGCAGAAACAGGCTCAGAAGGAGATCCAGAGCCAGGCTGAGGCACTGCAGCACAAGGAGCTACAAACTAGAGTGGCACTGGAGCACATCAGCAGCAAGGCAAGCATGGCCTCTTTCAGCTCAGAGCCCTGTCCCCCTCTTGGCACACTTGGGAATCTCAGTCCCTTTGCTTTCTAGCTGTGGAGCAGGCAGCTCTTGTGCCACTTAAAAAGAAAACAGACCTCAGATACCAGAAACCCTTGAGAAATTAGTTCAGTTGAGGCACATCACCAAATTTCTAACATCCTTACAGACCCAAGGTAACAAGAACCACCTTAAAGTCATCTCTTGCAGGCAGATGTGCCTGGTGCCAGGGGAAGAGCCTTGGCCCATCTAGACCCACATAATTACCACAGCACTTTCAGTGAAGCCCAAACTGCATGTAATTTCACATTAAACACTTTCCACATCATCATTCACTAGTCTTTTGCCCAAGCCTGACAGCACAGGCTTGTAAGTCCATGCAAATGCCAAGGAAATGCACATAAAGACTGAACACACTGCTCTCCTCTTTTACCCTAAGTTTGAAAGGTATCGAAACAAAATAATCCAGGCTACATTCAGCGTGGAGGGCATCCAGAGCCCCTCGGCCGAGCTCACAGACAACGAGGTGCTGGAGGCAATGCAGGTATGTGGCTCTTCCGAACAGCTTCCAGCAGCCAGGAAGAGAACACTTTGCAGTGCTTCTCTCAGCCTTCCCACCTCTTTACATGTTGCTGATTTTCAGAAAATCATTAATGAGCGGACAGAGTTCCAGCAGATGCTGAAGAACAAGGGTAGCAAGGTGTCACTGCTGAGCAGCGACAGCCGCACATCATCGCCTGCGAGGAGAAGGACCTCCTCCAGGATAGAAAGGCTCTGATGGCTGAGCCAGAACCCATCACCAGCCTCAGGCTCTGGGTTCTGGGCTCAGAGCTGGTGCCTTACAATGAATTAAACTCATTTTACTGACACCATGTTCTGTGGGAGTATCTGATTCAATTGTTTCAGCCAACTCAGAGCACAAGTCACTTTAATTCGTTTTATTTTTCCATTCCATGTGCAAGTGCCAACATGGGCATGTATTTGACACAGCAGCATTCAGTTAGAGCTCTGAGATATCATTTTTTACCAGAAGAGAATCAATCTGGGGGTCACCTTAGGGAAAGGAGTGAGTCCACATGTGTGCTCACCCACATATATAGGTCACCCACAGACTGCTCAATGAGAACTGCTCCAACTGCCTGTATTTTGGAAGGTAAAAATATGTGGGTGGGGCAAAAAGTTCCAGGAGGGTCACTCTGGGCATCAGTGCCTGAGGGGACAAGGAGGTCAGCAGTGTCAGCTGGAGGCAGCTCCAAATAGATCTGAACCTCCTCAGCAAGAACAAAGCCAGTGCTCAATCACAGTAACTCTCTGAGCACACACAAGGTCACTACAATTCCCACAGGGATGGAGGGTGGCCCTGAAATGCACTGGGACACACAAACCCTGCAGTTGACTCAACAAATCCCTTAAAAATGGAAGCTGTACTCATGCCTAAACACAGAAACCGTCACTTTAAAACGCATCCCTCAAGTTCTGACACAATTAAATGCTTCTGACAGCAACTAAATGTTCACAGTTACTCCAGATAAAAATAAAATTCTGCAGAACGAGATGTCAGCGAAGTGCTTTGGCATTCTGACTCCAGGTTGTACCCAGCAGAGGACCTCAGTTCCACACTGTCAATTACTGCATTTCTTTGCTGCCAAAATAATGATCCAGATGAAACACCAGGAGGGAAAAGTGATCTTGCAGAAATATGTGACTGTGCTTGTTTTAAACATCATAGTGATTTTCTCTACTGCGTTCTGACATCCTACACCTTCTCTGCCTTCAGTCCATGTTTGAAGATGCTGCTCTTTCTGCTCAGGCCTAACATGGATGATCTCTTTTCAGCATGAAAGATCCCAATTCTCCTTGCTGTAGCTCATCAAACTCTGAAGCCATTGCCTTCCCAGCAAAAGATGTTCCACATCTTTTCTTTAAAAACCCAAACCATCTCACTGTGCACCAGTTGCATTGTTGAATATGTGGAAAAAAAACCAAAAAAAAAAAGGAAATGGAATCCTCTTTCAGCTCAGGCAGCTGCTAACGGATCACAGTCAGCAGAGAGGAAACTGTGGCCAGGTCAGTTTTTGAAGGATAAAGTACTTTCAAGTTCCCATCCGTATCCACCACTCGCACCTGCTCCACTACCAAGGGCAGGTTCAAATTCCCTGGTCCACAGAGAGCGTCCAACTCCATATCTGAACCAGAGCCTTCCTTGTTCTGCAAGGTGGATCTGTTCAGCTCTGCAATTTTCTGTTAGAAGCAAAATACAGAGAACATCAATTCTGTGGCACAGAACGAATGAGAGGGAGTAACAATACTACTAAAATACAAATCAGCTTCTCAATGCACGTGAGCAATGACATGTTTGGTAGGAGCCCCCCCAAGAACAGAAGGATATTTTCCTGAACTGCCTACCAGGATAAGGGTGTCCATCACATCTTTGCAGATCTGTAAACTGGTATCACTTGTCACTTCCAGAAACAGGTCCTGTGTCTCTTTTCTAATCTGCAAGAGTTTCAGAGATGAAGCAAGTCAGAGCAGAGCCCCACAGCCCCCTGGACACCTCCCAGTACAGAGAACTGAAGGCCTTCACTCAGTTTAATTCAGGGGCAAAGCTCTGCTGTTCTTTACAAGTCAAAAACAATATTCTTGTCCTTCGACAAAGCCTTTGCACAGGCAGGCTGGTGCTTTGGAACAGATTTCCAGAAGTAAAACTGTAACTCCCAGATCCCTCTCAATCTGGGAGTAGAGCCCATATGATGCAGGCTTTAAGGGTTTATACTTGGACTACAAGCACAAGTTCCACAGAACTGTGTATGTCTTTGAGTTAAATGTCTCTCAATAGAAAGAAACACTGCTTAGTTATTAATGTATTTCCATGAATGGGAAGTACCTTTGTTTTCTCACTATTGGTTATTGGTGGGAAGGAAATCACAGCACCTTCAGCATCCAGCAGGCACGGGTAGTTGTCTTTACCATCCAGCAGCTGCAGGTACCTGCCATGAGAAACAAAGCAGTAAGAAGTGAGCAACTGAGAAAGCTGCTGGACACAATGACAAGAAATAGTGACAAAAAGGAATAAGTGTGTGATTTCTACAGTAGCAGTGAACAGCACAGGGCAGGGCCACATGCTGCTTTACAGCCTATTTGCTACTATGGTCAAGTTTACCTCACGTCTGATTCCCTTAGCTCACAGCATGTGCACCACACACCTTTCAATCCTCTCTTCTATCCTCTGTTCTAAATCTGCCACATCCCCAGTGCAGTCACTTAAATGTATGTGAGAAAACCACAAGGTACTGACTTGTGCAGCCCAGAGACGTTCTGACGCTTCTTCTGCTTCCGCTGCTCCTCAGCCTCCAGCTGCAGCTGGCGGAGAAGGTCCTTTGCCTTGATCTCCTTGCGACCCAGGGGCATGATCTGCACCACACAGGAAAATAAAACATTTTAATTCAATTTCTCTCAAACACCAGGGTTACAACACTCCCCTGTAAGCAACTCAATAATTAAACAATATTCCTGCATGTTGTCATGCCCTTTTCAGCATGGAAATACTTTCCATTTCACACGGACTGCTGTAACACACACTTGAAAAACAGGCTCAGTCGCTAGTACTAAACCAGGCACCAGGTACAGCAGGACATCAAGGAAATCAGTACAACTGCTAAAGTTCCTGGAGTTTGTTTTCTAGGCTCTATGGGGTAAAAAAGTACCCTTAAGCCCTACCTTGAGCTCATCAGGAGGCTGAACATCATATGTCAGAGGAGCTTTGACCAGCTGCAAGTCGTGGGTGGCAATGGTGGCCACTGTGCGCTTCTCACAGATGTCCTCATGCAGCTTAGTCTGAAACATACAGGATGCCATTGAAATAGATCAAAAAGTCAATGTGATTTATCCCTCCTATGTGCAGATTCTTCTATAGTTGATGTTGGCAGCACTACCAGCCAGGTGGCTGAAACACAGCCCTTCCTATCACCTGTATCTCCATTACAGCCCAAATGCAAAGGCAGCTAAGCCTAACAACATGTGACACATTTCTCCACAGGAAAACCAAGTTTCATATCAGAAAGCAATCCCAAATACTCAAATCTGGTAAACTGAAAGCAGGTCCTATCTGCCACCTAAGGGACAGGTGAACAGCAGGCCCAGGGATAGGTCTGTGGGCAGGATACCTCAGTCACAAAACTGGGTGTGTAACATGGTTTTAACATAGATCAGGGAAGCTGGAGCCAATCCAGGGGATCTCTACACATGGACACGGGGTTATTTTTAGCTTTTAACAGGTTCCACAGCATTAACAAGCTGCTGTTACAGTCCCAACACAAATGTGAGTGCATCCACTGCCCTCATGGCAATACCTGAGCTCTGATGGGTCTTTCCCAAAAACCAGTTCTGCTGATTTCAGACTGACTGGGCATGTGCTGCTGGCAGGGACCACTCACCCTGTACCCTCATACCTGCTGGGTGAGGAGCTCACCTTAAGTTTCACAAACACATCTGCTGGAAGGGGCCTAGAACAGTTTATTTCCAACTCTGCCAGCAATATTCCTGTTCCAAACGAGTATCATGAGGCTGCAGCTGTTACCTGCATGGTCAGGAACCTCTTGAGAGCATTTCCCGGCTTTAAGTTCACTCCTTTCAGCACACAGCACACGATGAAGGCTCGAACATCTTTGACACCTGGGCTCACTTTGACCACCAAAGGCGCTGGGTTCTCAGAGACGTGCAGAACCTTCACCAGCAGCTTGCTCGCCTCTTCCACCTCATCCTGCTCCCCATCCCCACTGTCCTTCTTCTGCTTCTCCCTCTTCTTCTTCCTGACGTCCTCTCTGGCACCCTCGGCCTTCCCCTTCCCACGGCCCCCAGCCCGTAGGTACTCCAGAATGGCCTTCGTCTGGCACCCATTGACCATCTTCTCCAGCCGCTTGTCCCTCAGCTGGTTGCCCCTGAAGTTGGCCTCCTTCAGCCGGGGGCAGTCGGCCAGAGCGGCGGGCAGCTCCCGCAGCTGGTTGTTGGCCACGTCCAGGCTCTGGAGGAGACAGAGATGGTTGGGTCAGGGGTGCGGGATGGGGACCCGGGCAGGGCGGCGGGGTCGGCTCCCACCTTGAGCGCCGGCAGCGCCGCGATGTCCGCGCCCAGCTCGGCCACCTCGTTATCGGCCGCGTCCAGGCGGCTGAGCAGCGGGAAGGGCGCGGGGGGTCCCGCGGGGG